GTGTTTATTTAAAAAGAAAATTAGGAGTTGTTTGCCTGACCCCCCCCCCCTCCCGACCTCCTCGCTAGTGCCGCTACGCCCTTGCACACAAAATGCACAGATCACCCTAATACAAGCTTTTTTACACAATTTATTGTGTTCTTGTATATAAGGGTGGCCCAATTGTTAGCGCACCTAACTATTGGTCTGCGGTTCCCATGTTCGCGTCCCTTTACTGCAAAAGAAGTAATTCACACTTTAAAACTATTACAAGGGCAAAATCCGACTATTACTTAAAACAAGAGTAGCCTAAAAGTTGGCGACAGGTAATGTTAACTAGCTGCCTAGTCTATCAAACAAAATTAGGGAATGTTATAACGCAGACAGCGCTCGAGTAGCGAATGCACGAAAAGAAATTTACTGTACTAAATATAAAAACCACAGACTGATAACACTTCACATAAACCTGAATCGAGAGCACTCTAGACAATGAGGGCCACTTCGTTTTTATACATATACATAATAACGTAATTGAATAGGTCTTTCACTTTTTAACAAACTGATTCGGAGAGACGTCATGAACAAACACGTCTGAATATAAAGATATCTATTTACAGGTGATACGTGTGTGTGGTCCAGTTCCCTGAACAAAAAGTTTAAATGGGTGTTTTAAAATTAGCTTTTAGCAGGCTTAAAGATATCAAGGCATGACCGCCTTCTTCGATACCTGCAACTAAATACGTAGTTTCAAAAATAATGCTGATAAAAAACGCGTTAGAGTTATACCTGGGATTTCACGCCTTTACAAGTTATACTAACCAACAGGACGAAGTATACAAGTCTGACGTGTACGTGCCCTTCCTAAGTTATTAATTATGTATTATCATGTATTTATTTTTGCGAAATAGGTTAATGACCTAGACAGACACCCCAATGTGAGATTGAATACCTAAATGTCCGATATCTGGGGGTTTAACATTTCCCAGCCCCCTCCCCAGCAGTTAGTCTCAAGGTTTATAATGCTAAAAACTGAGTTTCGATACCCATGGTGGGCACAGCACAGACCACTGTGTAGCTTTACGCTTAACTACAAACGTTTTTCTTTGCCACAAGGTTGCCCTCAAGTGGCACAGCGGCATCTCTGCGGACTTCCAACGCTAGAAACTGGGTTTCGATACCCGTGGGGGCAGAGCATAGATAGCCCATTGTGTAGCTTTAAACTTAACTAAAAACAAAAGCCACAGGGTTATTCCATAAACAAAAAAAAACTTAAGTGTTACAATAATATTTAATCAAGTTATCGTGCACTGTATAGAGCTATCAAAGAAGTAACAACTACCAGTAGTAATAGCTTTCAGCTATCAACTTTCGTTGCTAAGATACGAAGGTACAATCAAAACATTGCTAACTCGAGCACATTTTTTACCGAAGTAGGAAGCTACCATACCCACATTATCAATACGGAAATTCACGGTTCGTGACCCGCTGTCGTAAAAACTCACTTCGCACTTTGTGGCCTTTGGTTACCCTAAAAGTTCATAGCCTCATGATGTGCTTAGCTCAAATTTGTATACGAAGAATGCATGCTTCTTGAAACCGGTTGGTTCTATTTTTCGCTCATCTTTCAAGACCTCACTTCGTCAGCAGTATTTTTCTCTATTGGGACAACTAATTAACCATCAAGCCACTGCTTAGCGAGTACGAGTTACGTCATGAATGCATATTACCAACAGAGTTCCCATGGCAACCACCAAAGACGGGTACGTTGACATTATACAGAAGAGTAAAAAAGGCTTAAACTTTTATTAGGGTGTAATAAACACGCATCAACACAACGCATCTGTATATACATCAATCCAAAAACAGTTTGCAAAACAAATACACCTCCGAGTCAACAACAATTACTTAATTAACCAGTTTTGTTGTTGTTGTTTTTTTTAGATCACTAACAAAACTAAGAGAAGCCATCATTTGGGCCGCTTAAAATTCACTGGCGCTACTTACTTTATAAGTAAATTTTGAAACAAATCCCTTTATGGATGTTTTAGTGATTAAAAAATAAGAACAAACTGGAAACTACTAATTGTCGAAAACCTTCCTCTGTAATCACTTCGCCGCATCAACAATTTTGTCACACTAAATCTCAGAAAACTACTGTTTTGTACTGTTATGTTGATACGATATTGAAATGATGTTGTAAACAGGATGATATTGATATTATTAATTAAGTCTATAGCAGTAGGAATAGGTTTTAATCCTGATATTGTTGACAGAACTGTCAGAAAACTAAAAAAAACAAGGATGAAGATGTTAAGATAAAACCACTTGCTAAATAAAAAGTAAAAAAGAATGTTTGGGAGTCATATATATATATACCTGGTTTATCTTGTCAAATAATGAAGCAACTTACTAAACAAATACATATTTTTTCCCGATATATAAACTGATAAACAAAGTTAGCCAAATTCTTAATACAACTAAAGATAAAATTGATTTAATGGAAATAAATTGGTATGCATAAAATATGTGAATGTGGAAAGGTTTATACAGGACAAACTAGAAGAAATTTAAAATATACGCAATGAATGAACACAGAAGAAATGTTAAAAACAATATTACTATTTCACCTTTGGCAAAACATACTAATGAAACTAAACCCACAATTCAATTGGAAAAAAAAATTTAACACAACCTGATAATGTTATTAGTATGAATATATGTTTGTTTGGAATTAGGCACAAAGCTGCACAATGGGCTATCGGTGCTCTGCCCACCACAGGTATCGAAACTCGTATTCTAGTGTTGTAAATCCACAGACATGCCGCTGTGGTACTGGGGGGGGGGCTCGTTTGTTTGTAATTAAGCACAAAGCTACACAATGGGCTATCTGTGCTCTGCCCACCACGGGTATCGAAATTCGGATTCTAGAGTTGTAAATCCACAGACATATCGATATGCCACTGGGGGCGGGGCTTGTTTGTTTGTAATTAAGCAAAGAGCTACACAATGGGCTATCTGTGCTCTGCCCACCACGGGTATCGAAACCAGGTTTCTAGCGTTAAGTCCGCAGACATGCCGCTGTGCCACTGGGGGCAATGAATATACGTGAATCTATTGAGATAATCAAATATAAAAAAAAAGTAAATTTAAAATATTGAATAAGGATGATGCACCTAATGGAAATGTTGTCAGCAGATGGCGTAAAATTATTTAATATGTATATTTTATTACGGTAATTTTTTTTAAGGGTACAATAAACAAGTCTGATTCTTGTTAAACCTTACACTTCTGAAGATGACGAAGTATACACGTCGAAACATGTTGAGTCTATCCGGGTTTTTTTTCTTTTATCTTGTAAAGTAAGTTATTTAGTAATTTATTGTATTTTTAAGACTGGGAATAGTCTCATTTTTAGAATTGTGTCGTTGTTAATTGAGTTTTTAACATTGATCACTTGGGCTGTTCATATATTTTACTTACCTTAACGTCGGCTTACTTCTAGTATAATCTTACTATGAATACAACGTCTAAACATTTTTATAAAAGTTTCACAACGTCTTGAAATAATTGATGCCTGGCATAGCACGGTAGTTAGGGCATCGAACCGATATTTACAGGTCTCGGGTTTGAATCCCATCATCCAAAATGCTCACCCTTTCAGTGGTGGGGCGTTATAATTTGACGGCAATCACACTTTTCGTTCGTAAACGGGTAGTCCAAGAGTTGGCGGTGGGTGGTGTTGATTAGCTGCCTTCCCTCTAGTCTACAATTCTAAATTACTTACGGCTAGCGCAGATAGCCGTCGAGTAGCTTTGCGCGAAATTCAGCATACAAATTTAAAATAATCCCCCCCCCCCGGTGGCTTAGCGATAAGTCTGAGGGCTTATAACACTAAAAATCGGATTTCGATACCAACGATGGGCATAACACAGCCCATTGTGTAACTTCGTGTTTTAAAGTTTTTTTTCTTATAGATTACAGTTCTGTTACAAAAACGGAGATTTGATTTTTTCTAAAGTTTTCGTTTGTTTTTTACTAACATACACTTAATACATATATATTTTTTTTTTGTGTCTGAATTGTGTTACATCCACTAACTGGGTCAATAATGTTCAGGTGAATTTTTTTAGAAACATTCCCTACACCTGTTTTGTTAGTCAATTACATTAACACACCTACGCTTGTAACTTTTCGCCACTAGAGGGCATATATATTTGACGCCTTAGTTTTAACTGAAAAGTTAGTTTGTTTGAAGTTAAACACAAAACTACACAATGGGCTATCTGTGTTCTGCAACCACGGGTATCGAAACCCGGTTTCTAGCGTTGTAAGTCCGCAGACATACCGCTGTGCCACTAGTAGTAAAAAACAAAACAAAATCCATATAAATAGTGGAGTTCGTAACTTAGATACGGGTTAAACATTACTTCCAGGAAAGTAATATCAGTTAAATGACTTAAGTTAAACGCAACGTTTACGTGACTGAATTCACTCTAACACCTGTCATAACTATAAACAGCCGTGTATATCGTATAATGTCATATTTTTATCTTAATCAATATTTTTTACTTGTATAAATTTAGGGCACAAGTCATAACAAAAAAACTTTGGAGTCATATCTGATCTAATACATTTTAGGAGAAAAATGGCATAATCAAAATAACATTTTTAAGCCTGTACATATTTAATTCAAGATACTACAAAAAAAAAAAAAAAAAATAGTGTGGGAAAACGTGCTCTTTTGTGACCAGGCCTAGGAGACGGAACTACTTTTTTGCTGTTATGGGATATAACGCCTGCTTCACGCCTTATATGGCTCTTGTGTAATAAGAACGGCTCGGCACACCTACCTGTAGTCGGTTGTCTACCGTTTTCACCACGATTTCCTCTGGGGCATATTGACTGACGTCAAATCGTAGCTTGAGTTCCTTGCCATCTTCTCCCTCTTGGATAAGGGGCGAGTCGAGACGGTCTAGCCAAGAATGTTGTTCTGCCTTGTCTGTGGTAGTTGCCGGTTGTGTGGCGCTGGTGCGTTGAGACTGGCTACTGCATAGAAAATCGCCCTCACGGTCCATCAACTGCGACCGGAATCTGGTCATCTCCGCCTCCATACGTTTCATCTCGGCATCAAAACGCTCTCGAATGGAATTGAATTCCTGGTCGATGACGCGAGAGTCTGTTTTGAGGATGGGAACCTTTCTTTCTGAACTGGCCATCTGTAAGAATAACACCATATAATTTGAATAAAGGGGGGGACTGAACATAATCAAGGGCTACTTTCCAATACTCACGAACATACAGAATGATTCATCCAAAGAGTTGCGCATAGCTAATAAATTGGATATCCTTCTTTCTTAGTTACCTGTTGTTGTTGTTTGTTTTTTTTTCTTTTCTTTTTGAGTCCTTGAGGCTGCTTACGACTGGGGACACCTTAGATGCTGATGCATTAGCGGTGATTCTTGGACAAATTTACCAGGTGGCGTTGATCTTTCCAGGTAGCCGTCCCTAATTTAGTAGTGAAAGACAAAGGGTGGAAGCAACTAGTCTACATCACCCACTGTTAACACTTGGATTATTCAACTAACAACGAAAAGTGGGATTCACCGTCACGTTATAACGCCACCAATAGCTGAAAGGGGAAGCATGTTCGACGACGGGGATTCGAGTCTGCGACCAGCAGATTGTTAAATCGAACGCCCTAACCATGAGGTCATTCCAGTCCCAATCTGTATTATGTACTTGTTGAAAATGGAACACTACAGCAATTTGGTACCTTACCGATTAATGAGACTATATATGCCAGTTTCTCGTCATTGTATTATCCATACAACAATGTAAATTGTACTAAAATGCAGGCTGTGTGACGTAAGTTCTTAACAATGGATATCAATTCGCTCAGTCCAATCATGATGGGAATAAGTAATACCCTGTTTAGTGCTCAGGTGGGGCTCTAAACATTCATTTTAATATTACATATATGGAGATATGTAACTGAAGGCATTGGTTGTTCCTCACCTGTGAATGATGTACAAGTGATTTATTTAGGTACTGGTAAATTTAACGTAAATTACTCACTGTAATATCGTCATCGCCGGAAACTAGCAAATTTTTATTAGCCTTCAATCTTTTTTGGTGACAGAGCCATCAAACATAAAATCAAACCCTTCTTGCCACGCTCACCTGGAATACCATTACTTTCAGGATTTGTCAATACATGTAGTTTCTCTCTTACGTTTACAAGTACATTAGTTATAACCAATAGACAGGCAAGGTTTTCGTCTATCAAATGACGTATAATATTATGTTGTATTCTGTACAGAGATTTGTAGATCGCTTCCTAAGAAAATGTTGTTGTTTTTTCCCCCACGGGAACAACATTGTTTAGATGGATGACGTTTTAGCGGTTCATATTACTTAGCTAGAAACACCAATAAAAATTGATAGTTACGGGACATTGTCCGCTTTTTGCGTGATATTATTCTATGTTCTTTGTTGCATTATTTTATTAAATAAAAAATATTTAGTACAATACTACCATTAGTATGAAAAAGTAATATTCAGAGAGTTATCGATTTTCATATTTTTTTTCACTCTCGTGAAAATATATAAACGAATCAGCTTAAAGCGGGGTCTTACTGTATATTATTTCGCATTTCTAGCAAAGCCAATACAGTTACTTACGCATTATAAAATAGTTCCAATTGTTTGATCAATATTTTTCGAAATGTTTATTTACATTAATTGTAAAATATACTTTCAGGTAAAACGATGCTGTTTTTTTTCTATCGAGCTCTAGTTTTCGCGATCTGTATATGAAATCAGTATCAATACCATAAAAACGAAACATTTATAGCGTACATATATACATACAACTGTATAGGACTATCTTGATTCATTCAATTTACTACTCCAATAAAGACCGCATGCGCAATTCCTTTAAATTTCATCCTTTACTTTTCAAATGATGAAAACTTTTCAAAAATTCAATTTAACATTTAATTTTCTCTTGTTTTCTAGCTCTACAGTATGATCAATGTACGAATACTTGTAGAACAGTTTACATAATTTAGTTGAGTAAATATTTCCCCGCAAGCTGTGGGAAAAACAATTCTGATAAATAAATGGATTAGCACACGTCTAAGTAAAATCATTTTTTTTATGGCGTTTCGGGGCAGACGTACTTCGTCAGGCAGCAGCGTGAAAGAGAAGTTAGGTAATGTTTGAAGAAATAAAAAGGCTAGATACGATGTTAATAAAAACAACAAACTAAAAAAAGAAAACCTTATTTTTACATAACTTTTCTGGCCTAAAGCCTTCTTTAACAAACATCCCCTAAGAAGGGTTTAGCCCCGAAACGTTATGTGAAATTAAAGTTTTCCTGGTTTTTATTAACATCGTATCTACTTTGACCTAGTGTTTTTATTTCTTCAAACATTTAAGTAGGCTTACCTTCTTAAAATTTAAATGACAGTTTGCACAATCCCTCTATATTACAACTACACAATTTTAAACCATCACATCCAAACCGCCGTTTCATACTCAAGAGCATATGCTATGTGCAACTGATTCATCAGGTGGAAACCAGTTTTATAATAAGTGTAAGAAACATGGTAGCGCCAAATAACATCTCTAATAGTGGACGTTTCGAAACTGTTTAAAATTTCATCATCAACATTAAAAACTCACAAAAAGTTAATTCAGAACATTTATAAAGTGTAACATAACATCGATACTAACACTAGTGGAAACTTAGGCTTGTAAATCATAAGTTATATGTTGTTACTGTTAATAACAGCATATAAGATATAACTTATAATTTATATAACTATACGCCCGATATTCAACAGTTCAACTTCGAGCAACTTTCCTTAACATAACTTTATACAAACCTAAATTAAAAAGTGACACTCTTTATTTAATATCTATTGTGCATATTGATGTATAAAAACATATTAATACTAGAAATAAACGACTTTATAACCACCAAAATGTTTTATTTAATTTAGACACTCAACGTTTCGCTTTACAGCTTCTTCAGGAGCGTTCACTAAAAGTAAATTATCTTTTACAGTTGACTTCTTCTGGACATACTAACATTAATAGTTGCTTATTTCATTAAATAATAATTCACACATACTATAGTATATTATATAAGCAGTTTAATTTGATAGTTGTACGCTAATTTATACACTACATAGTTAATCGCACGTACTAGAACTAGAAGATTAGGCCTAACTGGTTTATAGACCTACAAATTACAACGTAACACGGAAATGTTTTAAATACTAACAAATACGAAGAGTAATGTGCAACATTTTCAAAAAAATAGTAACTAAGTATAAGCTTCTAGAAGTAAAATGGTACTTACCGTTGTCTACAGTCTCTATTAAGCACAAGAAAACGAAAATTTTAATCTTTACTTTTCGAGTACGAAATTTTTGTCCTCAGCGTTTACCGGCTTCTAACTGACACTGACAAGCGTCTTTGAATCATGAATTTACTTATATAAGCCCTGTAGAAAGTTTAAGAATGACGTTGGCGTTTCTCTACTCGAAAAACTACCTGCAAACAACTTTGACGCAACGATCAAACTGGAAACTTATGTGTATTGCGCATGTCTACAGAATAACTTTAAAAAATAGAACAAGTGCTTGTTCGCGTCCTTCGAAATTCCGCTGTTTTACTGGTTATTGAGCTACGTTCGACAACTGCGAAAAAGTGTGAGACTGTGTTTTTTAAGATTCAAGTGGCTGGTTAGTTCTCCTACGCATGCTTTCACAATTCATTGTTGTGTAATTTTTTTAAGGAAAAAAAGCAAGAACATCAGATCTTTGGAAGCAAGTACATAGTGGTGAACTGTAAACAACATAATGTTCAGGGTTAAAAGTTTTGAAGCAACGTGAAAAAAAGTTTTACCGTAAAAAAAAACATATAAAACAGGTTACTGTGGAATATTTCTAAGTTTATCAGTGATTATAAAGGACTTTTCTCTCTGTTCACAGAAGACGATGTTTATAAATATTTAGAGTATGTAGATTGAATTGTTACAGAGTTCTTTTATTATGTTATCTTAATCTTTAACGTGTCCATAAATACTTGTTTATGCGATTGGTAACTATCATTTAATAAAGTCTTGCAATCCTAAGAATTTGTCATTCACTGTTTTAGTATAACCCTCTATAGCGCATTGTAACGTACAGGTAATAAATCTATCTTTATTGATTAATACACATAAAAATGCTCCAGTTTTTTGGTCGAATGTTCATATTTTTAGGTAACACACTAAATAATTGCTGTTGTTTATTATTAAGCACAAAGGGCTATCTATGCTCTGCCCACCACGGGTATCGAAACCCGGTTTCTAGCGGTATAAGTTCGCAGACATGCCGCTGTGCCACTGGGGGAGGGGGCGACTAAATAAATCATTGAATTATTTTTGTTCGTTTCTTAATTGAACCCATTTATAACTTACCAAAATACATTTAACAAAACATTTTTTTTTGTACAATATAGATCTGTTTGTGCTAGTAATTACTAATCGTAGTATTCATACCTCTTTGTAAAAAATATATTAGAAAAAGTGAATATTTTCAAAAAAAGGATTTTTTTTCTGGGAAGTACGCCATCAAAATGATTCAATATACAGAGCTCACATTTTTCATAAATTTTACTGATATAAATTGTAATGTTTTTATATATTAAAAGTGGTACCGTTTATTGAAAAATAACAGTTTTTTCTTCTTTAAAAACTCCAATTTCTCAGTACTACATTTAAAAATTACATCAATAGATATATAATCGAACCTTCGCGTACAGTCCTAGTGAAAGTC